GGTGAAGTATCTGACACTCTGTTTAATATATATCATTACAATATCTGACTCTTTATATAATATTCAACAGCAAAATATCAGAAACTCTATTTAACATCGATCGGTAAAATATCCGGGACTCTAATCGCCCTGAATAAATTCCGCAGTTAGCCAGATAATAAATTTTAAAGCTAAATTCAATTACTGTAATCAAAAATATATGTAGAGGGCTGAAGAATGAGATTAATTAGCTACTTGTGTGCATTTAAAAAATTACAAATTTTGGCTCTAAACAAGTTCCTTTAAAAACATCTTGCTATTCTGATTGTTGGTAGACGAGATTCACAGAAATGACTCCATAGCATTCTACTTAAAGCGATTATAAATTAAGGGGTCACTCACTTGTTTGATTAAAAAGTTAGTTATGCAGCAACCGTCATAAATATCATTCAAATCTTTTTCCAATATTGTATCTGGGCAGGATATGAAATTTGATAAAACTCTCGGGAAGACCTGACATACGTGCAATTAGTTCTTGAGTATCTTTCCACATTAAAATAATTTCTCCATATAAATTCCATGGACATAAGCTCATAAATCACACAATATTTTACTTTCGTTTCTTAATTCGTATATTTGTGTATGAATACTTGATACATACGTTTCAATTATTGTCATTGCGGAATTTCATTTTAAGCGTTGAAAAACCTTCATTTATTTTGAAAATATATGATGTTTATTTAGAAACGTGGTACGACTAAAATAACACGTCCATTGGAAACCATATCTTTCAACTTCTAAATCAAACTTAAGTCTAAATCAGTTGAAAAAGAATAAGAAATTGTTTATCTTCCTCCCTGGCCTCAATAAAACTTACATATATTCGCATTCTCAACAGATTGTGGCAATCAGAACGAACCTGACGTATGAGAAAATTTCATTCGTAATCACAGGGAAGGCAAGCTCTCCGGAGAAGAAAACTTCAGCTTTCCTGAGGGTCGTCAACTGCTTGTAATTTTTAATGCAGCTCTGGTCGGCAGCTTCCTGCTGAGCAACGTTCAATGTGACGTAATTTTCATTAACAGGAAGCCAGGAGGAGGGTCCGTCTGTGAAGCCAGCTAGGGTCGAGTTGTCCCACTGCATTGGGGTCCTCTCGGGGTCACGACTGAACTCCATGTAACGGTCGGGGCCCCAAATGCAACCCGACGGGTCTTGGGAATCCTCGAACGAAACGAAAGTGTCTTCCATTCCTGGTCGAACATG